AAATCAAATCTTGCAAAAATTTCTACAGTTATAGTCAAAATAAATTTGTCTTATTATTATTTTCTAAAAATTAAATACAACATTTTATGCTGTGTTTCAAAATATTCGTACAATTATTCATATAAAAAAACATTACTGTATTACTTAAGCTTACAATTCTAATACAAGTCAAGTCCGATATTTTTAGGGCATTTGTGTCGTCTTCATTGATGCATTCGGTTCGTCTTTTATGACTATATATAGGTGTGAAACTGTGAATTTAATGGTAAACTTTCCTTAACATATATAAACGCATTGACTTTAAATAGAGTTCTATAGTTCAATAAAAAGATATTTAGATACAGATATATAAAATCAGATTCTAGTATCACGAAGAACATATAACCCAAAAACAAAAGTAATTGGGGGAGGAATGATTATTTCTGAAAATACTGATACGACACTAACCAAAGCAAATATGTGGTGTTATGTGTGATTGTGTGTATATATATCGACGGTTGCTGCTCTTTCTGTATAAAAGTCACTACTCGCAATTATAGTTTACCAACTATCCCTGCATTTTCTTTTTACTTTTGTTGCCTTTTTTTTTAAACCTCTGCATAGTTTAATTAGAGAAAATACATTTGGAAGTACATTATATTTTGTTAATAATAATGAAAATTGGCATTTACAGCATACAGTATTATATAACCAAATACGATTATCAGTTTTGGCAATCATGCGGTGGGGTAAAAAGCATTTGTCCATGCATCGAGCTCTGCGTTAAACGAATGATATAAACATGCTCCTACAACTATTTATCTAATTTTAAACCTAAATGTTAAACAAATGAATCAATGTCATCATCAAACAAATTAAAAGCCACATAGTATATATATGTAAGTGTTTTTCGTTTGAATATTTTTAGACATTATGATAGTCATTAATTAACCTTGAGAAAGAAAAAAGAAATGAAAAATCTTTTAACCAAAAAGAAAAGAAAATGTCCGGAAGATGGAATGCAGAAAAAAAAGCCTTTATAAAAGCGAACCAAAAGTGTTGACCTTTTTTACAGTCGAGTTCTCATTTTCATGCCTCAAATCTGAAAACATAATTAATAAAATGGCATGAATAACATTTTTCAATAATTCTGTGTATCACGAATGGACGGCATTACAAAATACCGCCATAGTTTGACATTACGTCAAAAAAGAAAGAGAAAATTTGTAAAATAGACACTTTTTTCACTAATAATTTGTAAAGTATGTATTTTTTTTAAAAATTAGAAAAGTAGACACTTTTCTCTTTCCTCTCTAATACACCTTTCTCTCTAATAGAGATATTAGTAAATGACATATTTATCATTTTTTGTTTTTATGTACTCACATAATGACATAATTGACTTAGTTAAAAGCTTTTATTTTTCTCTTTCTTCTCTTTCACTTAAATAATTTCACTTTGTTTTGATAAAAATTCTTCATAAAAAAAAATTACCACAATAACATATTAATCTTTAATTTTTTTTTTATGAATCTAAAAAGTCCAATTTTGCTATATTTTTCGAATACATAACAATTTTTATATTTAATCTCAACCCGACGGTGTACGTGATAATGTAAAGATAGTGTACAAACGGTAGTGTACTACGATAATGTAAAAATTAATTTATGATACTCACATGATGTAAGAGTTGATATACTGGATATGACATTGTACAAACTACAATCTATAATAGTGTACAACTATATAATACGATGTATGGTGTACATGATATTAATGGTGTACATGAAACGATGGGATAATAGATCTCACCATACACCACCTTTTGCACCGTCTACAACATCGTACACTTTCACATATTTTGTACACCACGTCTAGAATGAGAGAACCATTTTTGTTAAGTGTTAATGTAAAAAATGATAGTGTAGGAGATTAGTGTACAAACAGGTGTACAAACATTAGTGTAAATTACGTATGAATGTACAAACATTACTTCAATTGAATAGTGTACAAACGGGTGTACAAACATTAGTGTACATTACGTTTGAATGTACAAACATTACTTCAATTTAATAGTGTACAAACGGGTGTACAAACATTAGTGTAAATTACGGGTGTACAAACATTAGTGTACCAGGTGTACAAACAGTAATATACAAAATGTTATTTATAATGTTTGTGATAGAAAAATATACAAATTAAAAAAAATAAAAAAATAATTTTATCTATTATTCCTAAAAATTTGGACCAACATCAAAAATTCTTTTTCACAACACAAAGTGTAGAATTGTATTTGACACTTGTTTTGTCATTTACTCTATTACACATATCTTCTCTCTCATAAAAGAAAAAAAATGTGTCTATTCCTCTTATTTCTAAAAAAACTACCTACTTCTCAAATAACTTTTAGAAAAGTGTCTACTTTACTAAAAACCCCAAAAAGAAAACTAGATATCTATTCATACTTGTATATACATATTCTCTTATAATCTTTCTAAAACATATGTAGACATGTGTTTAAATCGATAGCATGGTGTTCTGGAAAGTAAAATTTGAAGCCATTTCTTAAATGACTCAATCATACCACTGACATTTTCATTATGCGACAAACCCGTCGTTTTTTAGTTTTTTTTTTTTTTTTTTTTTTAAAACATCTAGTTTTTTAGTTATTTTCATAGTCAATAACAATTAATTCGATTTAGACTAAGAATCAATTGTTAGATGACAAAAATCGTGCATTACTTTTTTTTTCCAAGATATACGAATTTAAACAACAACAAAAGCAGTAAACACTAACACACGAAACCTATTTTGTCAACCCGGTTGTTCCGGCGTATCTTCTATAGTAAATACTCCATTTGTTTAATTCCTAACCATAAATTTGTTTAGAAATATAAGCGTTATTGTACAATATAAGCATCATTGACCTTAATAAAGCCAACAAAAATAAGTCCAAAATATATATATATAAGCATCATTAAGTTTTTTTTTTTTAAGTTTCAAATTTTTTTGAGGTGTAAGAATTTAATGGAGATAAAGTTGGATGGGGGTGGTAGATTTTGAGGCAATAAATAGTGGGGAGAATTATGAGTTGTTGCAATTAATGCACGCAAGGCATGCATTTGTTTTCTCATCCACACTACTAATAATAAGTCCATTTTTTTGTTGGAGTATGTTCCATTTCCGCAGAAAATGAAAATACTACCACTGAATCAAAATAACATGAGAAAATAAGTATTGAGTTTTTTTTTTTTGTTAGAAGAATAAAGTATGAGACTATGAGTATGCCAAAACAAATTGTCACAAAGAATAAATGAGACTTTGCAGATTGTGGGAGTGATGAGTGCGACCTATCAGTCGACAGAAGGGAAATATGATTCTATTATATATTATAAAATGATGTCACTTCATTTGTATATTTTCGTCATTTAAAGTAAGAAAACCAAAAAGGGATTGACCTTCTTCTTGAATATTGTACGTCGATTTTTTTTTTTGGTTTAGTGTAAAGATTATACCAAACAAAAAAGATTTTTAGTGTATCATGGCTAATTACTATAGGTCAAAAGCTTGTTATAATCTTTATTAAAAAATTTGTGTTATACTACATGAGCCTAGGATTCTGCAATCCACTCCATGGTGGAGTTTAAATGGACCCATCAATTGGAAGTTGCCTCACACGAACTGAAGTCAGAAATTGTTAATTTTTACATGATTCTCAATGATATAATATGGGCTTACGGAGTACTACATTGAAAACAAATACTATAACTCTTTACGTATTTCTTAATTTCTTTATACGTCCTGTTTTAATGATATATTTCAAAATGTTTTAATTTAAAAGTCACAAACAGATAAACTCGTGTCTTCTCGAGGAAAATAACTTCTACCATCGAACGTTTGATCAAAATATAATAAATTATTGTTATGGCCTTATGGGTGAGTTAGCAAATGTGGATTCTGATTAATAAATCTAAAGTTGTTCTGCAATTAATTCTCTAGTTAATTCGATTGTTGTATCCTATAAATTCATGATTTGTGACTTCTTAAGGTAAAATCTCTTTTAAATTTTAAAGTCTTTGATTTTCTATATATATATATATATATATATATATATATTTGTTTTCTCATTAATAATTTGGTTGTTCATAAATCTACTATAACTTTTATAATTTTGAGCAAATTTTAATAGCGTTATTAAACCATAGTCAATTAAAAATATGGTGCCGTCTAGGTTGTGGTCCGGAAAAAAAGTTGAGAAAAATGGAAAACGAACGGTAGGTCGTAGACGTAAAGGAGACCCCGTTGAATTTCCTTTTGACAGTTGATGCTAGAAGCAAGAGAAAACAAAAAAATCCCTAGAAAATTTATTGGGTTTCGCTTATATCATTAGGACTTTGGAAAAGTAAGAATTTTATTGAGAGAGAAGAAAGATTGCGTTATCCTTTAATCCCCTATTATTTACTTGTTTTCCCGAGAAAACTCATTGAGTTTCTTCTATTTTCATTGTTTCTTCCACGTTTTCTCCAGTCTCTCTTTCTTCACTGTTTTTCTGTTCATAGTTGTTAGATCTTATGTCTTTTCAAATCCGAATCTTAAACTTGATCTCTTCTCTCATTTGATTAAACCCATCCAGCAAAAATTCCACCTCTCGAGACACGATTGTTGTTCGATCTTCTCCGTAGCTTTGTGACAACAGAATCTAGGGTTTCGTTTTTTTATTTTTTGTATTTTTCTTTTATTCTTTTATTTAAGTCTTGGTTCATAAATTTTCCTGCTACAAACAACAACTGTACATCACCATCATTAAGAGAAACCCATCTGCCTCTTTCTCAATCTCATAAATATTCTCACCGTTCGCTTCTCATCTAAATGTTCTCTCTGTAGCTTTTCTCTCTACAGATAACCCTTTTTGCTCCTTAATGTGTGAGTACCTCTCAATATTACATTCGACAGAAAGGAAATGAGTGAAGTTTTTTGGATCTTTAACCTTTTTTGATCATGCGGGTTTGACAAAAGAGTCTCTTACAGAGATCTTTGGCATTCTGTCCACCTCCTCTCTCTATATGTATATGTATGAGCGCTGTCTTGTGAGGGGAGGTGGGCATATTGCCAACAGAGATCTGTTAGGGTTTCTTTGTAAAACCCCTCATGATTTGATATTTTCAAGATATGAGACGTTGGCTCTTGGTGATCAAGATCATTTGTTGAATTCTAAGATCTAATTCTGAAGAAAACCGGGTATTATCTCGAATCTACTCTCATTTTTTTTAATGTGTGATCATTACTTGTTCTTGAGTAAGTCAATTTCATTTGTCATTTGCTATCTCCTTTGATTTATCTCTTAAAGGTTTTATGCTTTCTTTGATCGAGACTCTAATCCGATGGTGTTTCAAAGATGGATCACATTCACATTTGATTGTAAGAAGTTCTCAACATCTTTTAATTTGCAACGGCGTTGACAAATGTGAGATTTCAGAGTGGTGGCGTTTGAGACGTTTACATCATCTAGGAAAGGTAAATTATGCATAAAGAAAGAGGACCCATTACTCCATATAAAGGCACAGGTAAATTGAAATCATAGGAGAATATGGTAATGAAAAGGAGAATTTACTCTTCCCTTTTTCTTTTTTTTTTTTAATAACTTACTCTTCCCTTTCTATGTTTGTGAAGCCCACACAATGTTATTTATTATGATGTCTTGTTTTCTTTTAAGTTGGAATCTATATATATAGGCTATTAGCAAGTGATTTTTTTTTTGTTTATATATTATCTGATGAGTTTAATCTGATAAATGGTTGGAGAAATATCAAGTTCAATCTTAAAATAGATGTAGTATTTTCTTAGGCTTTATTATGATGTTTCTTTTGTTAAAGTCGGATTGTGTATATATAATAATATATACTCATGTATAGTCGCATGTTTCTATATGATGTATTGATGTAAGCATGTATTCTAACTTCAGGACTTTCAATTGAGGTATGAATGCCGAGATATGACGATTCCGACAATGTTGTGTTTCTTTATGTTGATTTTTTGATTAATTAGGTTTTAGATGGTACCAAAATGATTTGCAACTTTTCTTGTATTTTGATTAACTAAGAAACTAGCTGTTATTTTATGGGGGATAAATGAAAGCAAAATCAAGTTTACAATAGGACTTTTGTCAGTGCTCTTACTATTGTTACGATTATTAGATTTTAAGGGGTTTTTTTCCCCGGTTAAACAAGGATTTTAACGTTGAGAAAGTAACCATTGTATAATGCTCGACGTCTTTAATGTGCCTATAGTATAGTTCTACGGATTTAAATAATATGAAAAATTACAGTGCTCTACGTCAAAGAAAAAATAAAAGAAAATAAGAATTCAACTTGAACTTTCCCTAGTAACCTCATCATTGGAAGTGTGTCAGTAGCATTTAAATTATCCTTTCAAGGCAAATCTCCAAACGCGATTTAATTATGCGCGTGACTCCCAAATTTCCGTTCTCGTTTATGTAGGTCAAAGTTGCTTTACCTTGTAATTTTTTTTATTTTTATTTTTGTTCGGTCAATTCACAAAAACTCCAGTAATTATGTTTCCGTAGTGTAGCGTATGATTATTATTCTGCGTAATACAGACTCTTAAAGAAAACAAATGCAGTAGTCCAAAACCTACTTTCTAGAATAAAGAAGAAAAAAATGTTCTTTTGTTTCCTCCTAAACGGTGAAAAGAATCTGTTGCAATTGTTTACATTTATGGAAAAGTTTGACTCGTGAAGAAAACGAGAGCTTATTGGGCTTTATGTTGGGCTCAAGTTTATTCAGCAGGTCTAGACTTCATAATTATATTATAAAGTTTCAGCCCAAAAGGCTTTAAACTTGGTATAAAATGCTATGCAATTTATGCAATTTTTTTGGCTAAATATGTTAATATTATTATAAATTAAAATTAGATTTTACAAAAGAGTAGTACCTACCTAAAGAGTAGCCAAAGCAAAAAGAATAAAAACAATGCTACAATAGAATTGAGAAATATTTGAGGTGATTAGCGAATCCGAGCATTAACTTTTGCCAACGCTTTCGATTTCGTCTAGAAGAGATTACGTTGCGAAGTTACACGTGCCCAGAGCCGGCCAGGAGTACAAGCCACCAAAGCTGGTGCTTGCGGCCCCAATATATTTATATACTAAATCGGCCCCATTTTTCTTTGAAAATCCTTTAGTTCAGCTGGAAACATACTAGCCACACAAAGATTTGGTCGCAGGTTCGATCCCCATCAAAAGAGATTTTTTTTTCCCTTTTTTTCAAAGGGAATATCAGCCAAAAAAAAAAATTTGTTTGTGGCCACCAAAACTTCAGGGACGGCTCTGCACGTGCCCCATGCTACTCGGGTCAGAGCATAAGCTAGTGATGCTTTCGGCTACTGGACTCTCGCCATCTAGGGTGCGGCACTCCACCGCTTCGCCTAGCAGGGGACAAACCAATTGAGTTGTGCAAAACATTATTCCGTTGTCACCAAATGTTATAAATCACTGCTGCTTGAGCTATTATTTTCCGTAGAAGATCAGGAGCTATGCAATTATGCATCATTTTCGCATACTATAATCAATAATCAAATGTTAAAACATATGAATTAGTCGCTGATCAAGATGTTTTCTTAAGTGAAAAACCTAATATATATATATAGTTGGCACTTGGCAGTGGATATAAAATTTTGAAAAGTTTACCTACCAATCAGTCAATCACAGGTATCTTAGTCAAGTTGATTAAATAAATAAAAAAGACTCTATATAAATATATTTTTGAATGAGAACATATTTGATTAAATTGTGGTCCCATATCCATAAGTACTCGATAGAACGACGAAACCATGTTGACGACATATTATCGATAATCTCGGAGAAGAAGAAGAAGAGGTAGAGAGAAAAACCGATGCTCACAGCGTTTGCAAGTCACGCGCGTTCTCACGTTTTCGCGTTTGTTACCGTCCCAACAATCACGCGCCGCCTCCGTATAAATACATTACGCCAATCATCTCTCTCCTCTTTTCTTCTCCTAAACGAAACCTTCTCCAATCGACCCGATTCTGTTTCTCGTTGTTTTTGTTGTTCGAGCTCTGCGATTATGGGATCTTCTTCGGTGTTAGGCGAGCGATTACATTACCCTGCGACTCGGCGTGGTGATTCCGTCGTCGATAACTATCACGGCGTTAAGATCGGAGATCCGTACCGTTGGTAAGAGCTCGTTTCCAGCTGCAATTTCTCTCTTGCGTTTAGGTTTTTGTAATGGTCCAAATGGGATTTGAATTTTCTGCATATCGCTCTCTGAGGAATAAGCAGACATTGGATTTGACTTGGCGATTGACCTGAAGATTAATTCCTTAATTGTTGGAGATTTTGTGTGATTTGTTCATTTTTGCTATGCTTTTGCGTTGAATTTGTCATTCTGGATTGTTTTTTGCTAGGTTAGAGGATCCTGATGCTGAAGAAGTAAAGGAGTTTGTGCAGAACCAAGTGAAATTGACAGATTCTGTGCTTGAGAAGTGCGAAACCAAGGAGAAGCTCCGTCAGAATATAACGAAACTTATTGATCATCCGCGTTACGATTCTCCGTTCAGGCAGGGGGATAAGTACTTTTACTTCCATAACACCGGTCTACAGGCCCAAAGTGTGCTTTATATGCAGGTATTTGTTGAGAGCCATGGCTTTCGTATCAGTACATACATGCATTTTCTAGCGTTGTTTACTCATTGAATTTTGTTGCATTCGAGTTCAGGATGATCTGGATGCTGAGCCAGAGGTTTTGCTTGATCCAAACACTCTTAGTGACGATGGAACTGTGGCCTTAAACACCTTTTCTGTCAGCGAGGATGCTAAGTACTTGGCCTATGGTCTTAGTTCAAGTGGTAGCGACTGGGTGACCATTAAGCTGATGAATATCGAGGATAAGAAAGTGGAGCCTGATGTTTTATCATGGGTATGGTCTTTAAGATGGTACTGATTAGTGGGGTTGATCAATAAACTTCTACCGTCAAGATTTCTGATATATTTATGATCCTCTCGTGGAACAGGTTAAGTTTACCGGCATTACATGGACGCACGACAGTAAAGGATTTTTCTATGGTCGCTACCCAGCTCCCAAGTAAGTACAAGATGTGTTGGTAGAAGCCTTTCAATATAGTTAAGATAGCTAAGTTACTCTAACAATTTTATTTGTCTTTTGCAGAGAAGGAGAGGATATTGATGCTGGCACTGAGACGAATTCTAACCTTTATCATGAGCTGTATTACCATTTCCTTGGGACAGATCAATCTCAAGATATCTTATGCTGGCGAGATCATGAGAATCCCAAATATATGTTCGGAGCTGAAGTCACTGACGATGGGAAGGTAACACTGGGTTCTTTTAACTTTGATTACGCTCTTAATCCTCAATTTTTTTTTTCTGTAAATACTGTCGGAAAATCATTTTGATCCTTTCCCTTTTTCTAAATGATGGGCATGACTTCAAACTGTTTTACCTAGTTTTGTAGACTGAAACTTGGATTCTTAGTTTTAGGTCTAATCTCATAATGTTGTTTCTTCTTGCAGTATCTGTTCATGAGCATTGGAGAGAGTTGTGACCCAGTCAACAAATTATACTACTGCGATATGACTTCATTTTCGGGAGGTCTTGAGAGTTTCAGAGGAAGCAGCAGTTTTCTTCCATTCATTAAGCTTGTTGACACGTTTGACGCTCAATATAGTGTTATCTCAAATGATGAGACTCTGTTTACTTTCTTGACAAATAAAGATGCCCCTAAGTACAAATTAGTCCGGGTTGATCTAAAGGAACCAAACAGTTGGACTGATGTTGTTGAAGAACACGAGAAGGATGTCTTAGCATCAGCTTGTGCAGTCAATGGGAATCATCTGGTCGCATGCTACATGAGCGATGTAAAGCATATTCTGCAAATTAGGGACTTGAAATCTGGTTCATTGCTTCACCAGTTACCTCTAGATATTGGTTCAGTATCTGATGTTTCTGCTCGGCGCAAGGACAATACCTTTTTCTTTAGCTTTACTAGCTTCCTCACTCCTGGTGTGATTTACAAGTGTGACTTAGCCAATGAATCTCCAGAAGTTAAGGTATTCCGGGAGGTTACTGTACC